AAAAAAAAAAAAAAAAAAAAAAAAAAGCATTCTTTCTTGAGAACCTCCAAAATACCTTTTTGAACTTTATTCCTAGCCAGAAGTGAAATCTTAGAATAGAAGGGCTTCCAAATATGAACAATGCAGATTGAATTCAAGTTCATTTTCAACACAAATGCTGTTGGATGTACTACGCATAAGACAGGGAAAGTCTTGTAATGTTGCCTCCATAAAGAATTTGAAAAAAAAATTAACTCCAGAGTAATTTTTCCCAAGGCCAGCAGACAATCGGGGAGCTTCCCCAGAGAACTGGCTCCTGGAATTTGAAACACAAAAGCACCAATTCTGGGTTGATTTTGTGTAACTGGAGTCAAAAGCATTGGTTAAAAGCATATCAGTCCAGGTAGTTTTTGTTCTTCTTCCTGCCCCACCCCCAGTATGGCAACCACCCTCCACCTTCCCCATCCTTAGGATATCCCCTGTGTTCTCATTTCTATTGACTGCCAGTGCCTGTCCCCTTACCCCAGCCTTTAGACCCCATCTCTGTCAGTCCTCTGACAAACAGGTATCAATGAACTCCTGTACTTCCAGGTAACTAGAACTTTATTAATAGGGACTTCAAAGAGCTTCCCCACACCCCTCAAAGAAAACATGCTTCCTGTGCTCTCAGCCGCTAGCAGCCTTTTCTGGTTGGAGCATTCTGAGAGGGAGTACCACCCCCATCTGTGAGACTGGACCCCACCTTGCCTGAAGGATGACCTCCCTTCCTACTTGGGGAACAGCCCTGAGAAAGAAATTTGGTAATACAGGGAGAGATACTGAGTCCCAAAGAAAGCATCCTTGAACTATTAAAATGTAGGAAACACACATGAAACCACTGAAATACAGAAAGTGCCCATGAATAATTGCAACTTCTGAGAAACTGTTATGGTTTTGAAGTGAGGTATCCCCCAAAAGCTCACATGTGAGACAATACAAGAAGGATCAGAGAACTGATTGGGTTATAGCCTTAACCTAATCAGTGAATTAATCCCTGATGGGTTAAACTGAGTGGTAACTGGAGGCAGTAGGGCTGTGGCTGGAAGAAGTGATTCATTGGGTATGTGGCTATAGGGTATACATTTTGTATCTGGAGAGTAGAGAGTCTCTCTCCCTCCTCCTTTCCCTTCCCCACATCTTTGTGGAATGAACCCAAGGGTGCGATATCTCATTTTTATTTTTTATTTTGAGACAAAACCTTGCTAAGTTGCTGAGGCTGGCCTCGAGCTTGTTATCCTCTTCCCTCAGCCACCCCTGAGTCACTGGCCTCTCTCTCTCTTGAGTTTGCCCCCATTCTCCCTTGAATACATAATTACTTTTCCAAATAAACTTCTCTCTATGCCTTTAACTGGTACATTCTGAAATTCTGTTCTATCATCTATGCTAAGATACCCATTGGTCCTGAGTCAAATTCTCCTTTCTTTCTGGGAACTCCTAGGATCATTCTTCAGAGACATTTCTTCTCCCATGATAGCCCCCCTCTCTACCTGAGGCACAGCCCCATTCTCCACCTGAGGAACAATCCACTCCCCATTTTGGGAACAACTCCATTCGTCACCTGGGGAACTGTCCCACCTCCTACCTGAGGGACAGCCCCAATCTCCACCTGAGCTGTAGTCCCCCTCCCCTGGGCTGAGGCTGCCTTCTCCACATTTCTTTTCTGTGGAGCTATGTTCTGGTTGTCACCACAGAATGAAAACTCTATAACTTAGGCTTGTTTCTTGGGCACAAACATGCATGATGGGAACACAGTACCTGATAAACTGCTGGAATACACAGGCTTTCCAAGCAGCATGGTGCACATGTACTGTTCTCCGGAAGAAAAGCTACATTTCCCCGGACATAGGAGCAGCTCGGTGTAAGGCACACCTTCTCCCTGGGAGCCCATGGTTGCAGCTTCTGGAACTTGAAGTTTCCTGTCATCCCTTTCAGAGCACAGGCAGGACAGCTACACTGCTCATTGCTCACCAACAGCATGGAATTAGCATGGGTATCTAGAGAAGGAGAAAAGCATATTTGGAAGGCGGCCATGTGCAGGGAGATAAAAGCAGAAACAAAGACTTGGCCTCTATGCCAGGTCAAGGCTTCCCTGGACTATAGGCTAATTAAGAAGACTGGACTCCTTGGGATGCATGCTGACATTAGGTGTAACACAGTAGGCAATGTCGGGAAGGCACTACTACTGGCCACACCAGGAAGATTGTCTCTGACAGAAATACACTGATAGTCCAACTCTAAAATGATGGTGGCAAAGGGGTCACAACTCAGGGATGTGTAGCAAAGGGGAGGAAACCACAGTCCAGAGGAACTGTGGAAAAGCAAAAAGGAAGAGCAATGAGGATGTCCTGAAGTTACAGCTAGGAGTACACACAGGCAATCTGGCTGTGACCACAGGCAAGCAGAAGGCCCAGGGGCCAGCCTCCACCTGGCAGGGGAAGAAGGGCGCTGTTGCCTTCCATGTGTGTGGAGAGCAGATGTAGGAAGATCTTGACCCATGTTCAAAGGTATTCATGATACCATTTCCTACTGTGTGAGTATTTGAATTTGTTCATAATCAAAGTTAAAGAAAAATGTTTCTGCTTCAGTTGGCCCTGCACAGAGCCACCCTGAGTGTGAAGCCAGACAGTGTCCCTGGTGCAAGAGTTTCCCTTTCTTCAGCCCGTTTCTCCCCTCACAGAGTCCTTGTCCCCAGAGCAGGAGGGTGGGACAAGGACTCTGTGAGGGGAGGTGGGACTGGAGGGCTGCAGAGGGGAGGGGAGCACAGTGCTGCTGTTCTGTTTGACCTCCAATTCTATAAGGGAACGCATAGGTCTATGCTCCTTTAACCCCAGCCTCTTACATGGACCAGAGGCACTCACAGGGAGAGGAAACTGAAGCTCTGCAGGCTGCTTTTGAGGCAGGAGAAAAGTTAAAATGAGCAAGCAGGAAACGTGGGCTCCTTCAAGGTCAACTTTCTGTGTAGCAGACTGAGAAACTACAGACACAAGCCAGGCCTCATCAAAGTCAGGCAAACTCCTGTGTATGCAGAAAAAGTAGCTGATAGTGAGACACATGCTGCCTAGTATCCAGACTCCACCACCATCACCACCAAAAACGGCACAGGAACCTGATTGGAGAAAGGGTATGTGAAGAGCTTGTGGACACTGAGTGTCTTACCCAGGAATGGGGAGGAGGTTAGCTTAACCCTAGAGATCTATATAAACCCTAGACAACAGCCACACTGTGGCATCCCTCCCTTGGGACCTCTCCCCTTTGGGAGCTCTGCTTTCTTTCCTTTGATTACTCTAATACATCCTGTTACTTTGCTCTCACCCTTGTATCTGTGGATTCCATTCTTGGAATTTGCAATACAAAGAACCCAGTCCCAGGTCCCATGCTACACTTTGAGTGGCAAGTTTTGGAGCTGCACCAGGGCAGGGCAGGGCCTGGCCAATAGAGGGTGATGCTTCAAAGTGGTATTTGTTAATTTCAGGGTACCACTTGGGCAGTATCACAGGTTGTCAGCTTCCCCTAGTTTTCCAGAACACTCAACTTTCTAGAACAATGTTGAATCCAGTTTAAACATTTGGAGTCAGCATTACAATTTACTATCAAGAATCCAGTGTATTAATATCTTGTGATAATAAACACTGGAGATAAAAACTTAAGGCTATGATCCTGTTCTTTAAAAGTAATTTAGGAGTTTGATTCAGCTGTCAACCACAGGATGGATGTGACCGCTCAGGTATGAAATCATTTCTTGAACTGGATATACCTGTGGGGGAAAATATTTAGAATTTTTTTGGAATTAATCAGAATAGTAAGTTCCTTTGTGTCTTCCAAAGTCATCAGTCTTCAAAACTACTGTGCTTCAGTGATGTGAAGAAAAGTCTGACCTGTTAAAACAAACTGATGTGTCCCTGACATTTTCTTTAAAAATTTAAAGTCAGTATTTTTTAGCTCCTCTTATCTATGAAATGCATAATCGAAGTTGAAAAAGTTATTTCTACTTAAAGGAATATGGAAATTAAATTTCAGTCAACTATTTTATTACTATTATCTAAAAAATTAACACTTGGGTCTGGGAATGTAGTTCTGTGGAAGAGTACTTGCCTGACATGCTGAAGGCTCTGGGTTCTATCCTCAATACTGAAAAACAAAAACAAAACAAAAAAACTGGAAATATTCCCTGGGTGAAGGAGGAACAAGAATGCCCTCTAGCCTCCACCCCAATACACATGGAACTTCTTAGAACATTAGCATTCCCCTTACTGGCCTCTGGAGGCCCCACTATATACACAGGGGTTCTCAGGGTTGGCCTCTGTATCCTTCCTGGAACAGAAGGTCTGTGGTGTGCCCCAGAGAAGGAGTTAAAATATACAACCCTGATCTATTGATTGTTAAGTTAAAAGCTCTGAAAACCACAAGTGCAAGATCACTGTGACCTTCATCTCTTTCTTAAAAGCAGAAGATGAAATTCCCATGTGAAAGATGCCCTTCCTATGCAAGCAATAAAAGCAACATTCTTATCACCAATGTTAAGGCCAAGAGAATCCTATACAAACAGGCTTGTTAAACTAACCCTTATCTTCCTGGTCTTCCTCAATAGCCTTGGCCTTATGACATTTCCAAAATTTGCCATTCTCTGTCCAACTGAATATGGAAGTCACTGACTAACTCTTCTTTAGGTCTTCATTTTCTTATGAGGGTTCCCAGGACACATAAAACTTGTATAAAATAAATTTTTAAGTTTTCCCCCTTTAATCTTCTTAGACCAGTTTATTTGCAGGCCCAGATAAGTCCCTAAGAGGATGGAGGTGCAGTTGTTTTGCTGCCCCTATAACAGTAACTTATATTTTTTGGGGTGGGGGTAGGGGTGAGGAGTACTGTGGATTGAACTCAGGGGCACTAGACCACTGAGTCACATCCCCAGCCCTGTTTTGTATTTTATTTAGAGACAGGGTCTCACTGAGTTGCTTAGCGCCTCACCATTGCTGAGGCTGGCTTTGAACTCACGATCCTCCTGCTTCAGCCTCCTGAGCCAGTGGGATTACAGGTGTAATATGTGTTTACTAAGATCCCACCCCACTTCCCAATGAAGGGAATCCTCAGGGGAAGAGCTGAGCCCACAGGCTTAGGTTCAGACATGTGTTCTAAACCCCAAGACCGCCTCCCACCATGGGTGGTGCTGCACAGAGTCCTTGTCTCCTCCTGTGGGAAAGGGTTGAAACCCTCCAGCTTGTGGGTGCCCTTGGCCAGGATTTGGTAGCCATGTCCCTTTCCCAGCACCTCACCCACTGGCCCTTGGCTGTAAGGAAGGCAAAGGCTGTAGCTGCACAGTCGAAGACTTCTATTCTTCTGAGCCTCTATAGGGGTCTGGCCGTACCAAGAAAGGTAGCAAGCGTCCTGGAGACACCTGAAGGGGTGGAAATAAATAGAGGGCCATTAATTTAAGCACCATTGTTTAATCATAACCATTCTGTAGCCATCTATATTTCTGTCACAGATTCCTTAAGCACAAAATTGGCTGCCACACAAGCAAGGAGCAACTGCTTCTAGGTGCACTTGGTCTTCCAAATTTGAGGGTTGTTTGCCAGAGTTCACTGAAATTCAGTTCCCATATGACTTGTTAAAAGCAGTCAGTTCCCATCTGTTAAAACCATGCTCACAGCCGGCATGATTGTGCACACCTGTAATGTTGGGAGGCTGAGGCAAAGGAGGATCACAAGTTGGAGATCAGACTCAGCAACTTAGTACAGAATTTAATTTTTTTTTAATTAAAAAAAATAAAAAGGAAGAATGCCTATGGGTTCAATTGCATTCTATTTTCTATTTTCCAGCTGTCCGCAGGCCTGGACTGCTCAGATGCAAAGAGCTGTCCCTCATGCTAAGCCCTGAAGCTGCCACCTTTCCAGGACTCCACTTGCTTCTGAAGTAGGATGGAAAAATGAGGCTAGGTAGAAAGGAGACAGAAGAAAACAGGGACTCAAACTTTAAGTATGGAAGCTCCATGAATACCTTCACTTTCACCCCTCAGGCCTATTTTGCTCCAGGTCTAAATTCTTAAAAGGGTCAATAAATTTTATAGTACCACAAGTCCAGTTAATTAGTGCCTACATATAGTTGTTTACAAAATGTATTTTTAGACGGATTTTTAAAAGTCTAGAGAGACATCGTTAAAGACCCATGATATGGTGCCCTCCAAGTGCTACATATTAACTAGATAGTGTCAACCAGAAGATTCTGAGAAGAACCAGACCACCACGGCCTGCTCTGTGCTCCACAATCCAAGGAATCGAGTTCATTAGCCTGATGGCACCCCCTTACATTTCTCATGTTTGCCTTTTACAAGGTTTCCTTTAAAAGAAGCCAGAGACCCCCAATACCTCACCCACTGATAAGTCCCTAAGAGGATGGAGGGGAAGTTGTTTTGCTGCCCCAAAGCATTCCTCCCTTTGAATGCAAATCCTGCACTATTGCTGAATAAATCTCCTTGCTTCCCTGAACAAGTCTCTATTTGTGCCTCTTTTGATGCACCCTGAAATTCCTTTCTATAGTGTAAGTAAAAAACCTGCCAAAGCTGAGCTGAAGTGCTCTTTTCCCTTCTGGGACCTCCTCAGACCTCATCCGGTGACACTCCCATCTCATGCTTCACCTTCTGTGGATCTTGCAGTTCACTCTCAGGCTGAGGCCACGTTCTTGTAGCCCTGTGTGGATTGGGCAGGCTGTAGACAGGAGCAATGCCAGTTCGTGGTCACGTGAATGTGCAACACTGCCAACACTTTGGGGTACACCCTGAAATCCTCCTTAATCTTTACAGAAAATTGGAGAGGATGCTGCAGTTTGGATCTTCAATGTCTCCCAAAGCCCAGTGAGATGAAGTCATGGTCCCCAGAGTGGCACAATGGG